TTTAGATGTAATATACCATAAGTCAATGTGAATACGATGAATATAAATAATATTTAGATTTGTTATTATATTTTAATTATTATGCATATGTATAAATTAAGGGTCATTCATTTGTAGTCTCTTAACTTAGTTTCTTAGAGGTGAAGAAACCAATATTTTGGTGATTGAGAAGAAGAAAAACAAAGAAATTTTTTACATCTTTTATACCATAATACAATGTGATTTTGGTGAATACAAATAACATTGAGATTGAATATTTTATTTTAGTGACTACCCATGTAGATATAGTTTATTTGTCATTTATTTATAGTCTATTAACTTTGTGGCTTACTGACGAAGAAACTTGAAATTTCTTGATGGAGAAGAAACATATTGAATATATTTACATCGAATACACCATAATTTAATGTGAAAATGGTAATTATCTATTATATAAAAAGTATATAATAATCAATAAATTTTAGCTTGATTAATTATTTTTATTATTACCTATTATATAAAAAGTATATGTCATGGATTATAGTCTTTTAACTTTGTTCTTTAGTGGGGAAAAACCTAAAATTTTGTGATGGAGTAGAAAAATAAAATATAATTAATTTTTTACATCAGCTATACTCTATTATGTTTGTTGCCTTGTGATAAAAAAACCAAGAACTTTGGGATGGTGAAGAAAAATATTGAATATTTTTAGATGTAATATGCAATAAGTCAATGTGAATATAATGAATACGAACAATATTGAGCTTGATTATTTAATTTTAATTGTTATGCATATGTATAAGTTATGGGTCATTCATTTGTAGTCTCTTAACTTAGTTTCTTAGACGCTAAGAAACCAAAATTTTGGTGATGGAGAAGAAGAAAAACATAGAAATTTTTTACATCTTTTATACCATAATATAATGTGATTATGGTGAATACAAATAACATTGAGATTGAAAATTTTATTTTAGTGATTACCCAGGTAGATATAATTTATTTGTCATTTATTTATAGTCTATTAACTTTGTGGCTTACTGACGAAGAAACTTGAAATTTCGTGATGGAGAAGAAACATATTGAATATATTTACATCTAATACACCATAACTCATTGTGAAAATGGTAATTATCAATAAATGTTAGGTTGATTAGTTATTTTAATTATTACCTATTTTATAAAAATATGTCATGGATTATAGTCTTTTAACTTTGTTTTTTGGTGGGGAAAAATCTAAAATTTTGTGATGGAGTAGAAAAATAAAATATAATTAATTTTTTAGATCTGCTATACTCTATTATGTTTGTTTACTTGTGATAAAAAAAACTTATAACTTTGGGATGGTGAAGAAAAATATTGAATATTTTTAGATGTAATATACCATAAGTCAATGTGAATACGATGAATATAAATAATATTTAGCTTGATTATTTTATTTTAATTGTTATGCATATGTATAAATTAAGGGTCATTCATTTGTAGTCTCTTAACTTAGTTTCTTAGAGGTGAAGAAATTAATATTTTGGTGATGGAGAAGAAGAAAAACATAGAAATTTTTTTGAGTTTTCGTTGCACATTGGGGAAACACCGGGATGGTTGTGTTTGCTTCCATGAATTTGTTGTGAGGAAATAATTTTTTTAATAACTTTTCTTCTAACAAGTTCTAAGTTGTCATCGTCGATGTGGTTTGATCTAGATATTGCTCATTTTCCTTTCCAATCAGAGAGAATGGAAACAGTATTCTAAATATCGCATCTTCCTCATTTTATGGAGCTTCTAGCGTACCATTATTTTCAAAGAACTATGTGAGGTATGTGTATGAGTCTTCATGATTTAAACCTACAAAAGGGTTAACATACAAAATTTGTAATAATTTTTATTTCATTTCACTTTGTCGAACATTCCTTTGTGATCTTGTTACATGAGCTAGACATTGGGGCTATTGTCGCTTTATTGTTGTTGTTGTTGTCGGCCATGTTTCTTTATTTTAAGACAGAAGACTCTTCTAGATCTAACCCTTGGATTTTTGTTTCTTTTTCTTGTTCTTAATGAGGTTTCTGAGTGAGGTTCTTTTGATTTCCGGAACGAATAACATTTTTTTGTCAAGAACTTTACCTTGCAAAAACTAATAACATAACTAATTCTAGATGCTAGTGTGTTAGTGACTAAAAATAATATATACATATATAAACAATACTTAAAATAATAAAAACTAGCACCAATCCTCGAGAACAACACCATTTTTGTTTCAAAGCACAAAAGTAAGGTTTATAATTATTGTATTCATAGAGACTAGTAGTTTCAAAGACCGTTCATTAGTTTTTAAGATTATAACTAGAGAATGATTTTATAGTTGTTTTGATGTGTGAAAGTAAATGACATAAAATAAATGATAGAAAGTAAAATGGAGATTTCAATGTTAACAGTAAGAAAACTTGTTAGGGGTATACGTCATCATTGCGTATTTATCATGCATAACCATATGTCACTAATATGGTAATCTACTTAGCTAGTAATATTACCACTTGTTTCTATCATTCATATCTCCTATCGGTCTTAACAACGTGAGATCAGGGCATTACCTAATAGCCAATATCTCGGTTTGTTGACCAACAATGAGCATTATGTTCCAACAATTATAAAGCAGCAATACTTAGCAGCGATCATACTACAATATGTTCAGATATTAAACCTAACCATATGTATAAGAAATAACATCTAATAGATGATAATATTGGATCAACTAATGGCAAGCACCTTTAGAATACCTAGGCATACCCTGAAAACAAGTTTTAGGTAGCAAATCTAAAACATGCATTAAGATTAAAGAGTCATCAATATTAAAGCTTGAGTAGACTTACATAAAATGACATAACCTATTTAATACATGAATATAATGACTACGTCTAACCCCTATCAAATAGAGTTTTAGCTACACTTACTCATCGCAACTATAATGGTAATCCCGTGAAGCTAAACTTGAAAATTTATCTGCCATGTCACTTGAGCAGCGCTTTCACCTTCAAGGTCAAATTTTGTGTACTACCTCATTCTACCAAACTCATTTTCAATTGAATTGGATGCCTCTATTTATAAGTTTGGATTCATGGAACTCGTTAGGCACACTGCCCTTGGGCCTAGATTAAGGAATGCTAGCTATCTGACAGGTAGCCTTAGCCGCCTTGCTTTTCGATCGCACCGCACTTGTGCCTATATTAAACAATATTATCTATTTGACAGGTGGCCTTAGTCGCCTTGCTTCGCGGGGTGCATCGTCCTCGCGCTTAGCTCACAAACCCTTTCTTCACCATGAAGTACTTTAAACTTGAAGTGTCATCTGGTTTCGTGAACTCTCTTAGCGCGCCTATGGAAATGACTTAGTGAGACTTACTTTGCAGAGTTTGCTCCAACTTGGTGTTTGTGTCATGGCTTGTGATTTTTCTGTCTTTTATTTTTTTTATCCATTTTTAGTTAATAAATACTACGAAAATCTAAATAGATATTCTATAATTTTTTATTAACAAACTAGAGTTTTTTTTATAATGATTACTCGTAAAATAAGTAAATAAATCCTTACACATTTTTCGTATGTTTGATACTTCCTTTTATAATTTTTTTTTATAGTTATTGATAAATTAAATGAAAATACTTGTGAGTACCATATTTACGAATAAATGTGGTTAAACATATTTAAAAATGTGAGCTACCACAAAATTTTATTCACAATACTTGTAAGTACCGCATTTACGAATAAATGTGGTTAGACATATTTAAAAATATGAGCTACCACAAAATTTTATACACATATGAATGATAATATTGTTTGTTTTAATTTCAAAAATGTAAAAAAAAAAAAAAAAAATTATACTTATGAATTTACATAGTTCATTGTGGAGAAAAGAAAAAATTAACTTAAAATATTAAAATGTGTGAATGGAGTAAAACAAATTATTTGTTTTACTTATTTTAAAGTAAAAATAGCACAGGCTTTCATGCGATACTAAAAAACATGTCTATTACTTAGAGGATTCATAATAACATATTTGATAGTTGTTGTTTCACATCTCTAATATGCATAAAATAATTGGGTTCTTTGTTTTTTTTACATGGTCTTAATTTTTTTTGAATGAGGCAAATATATAAAAAAGAAAAACAGTTAAAAAAGAAAGGGACTTAACTAGAACCCTTTTCATTAGCAAATTCAATTGCTAACATAGCATCCGAAAATTTGACAATGAAAAAATAAACGCTCCCACAAGCCAATCTAGCCGATACAGAAATAGAAACGCTGTCACAATTCAACTTCTACTAATCGTCTGAGAATTGCCATATGACTTCCACAATATTAAAAGCACGCGGAGGCCGAATAGACACCTCAAACCATTTCAAAATACCATAGTCATACATTAGATCCAACAGTAATGGCATTTCCTTTAAATTGGTGCAAAGGAAAATTGAAAATCTATGTTCAATGGGTTCTACAAATTATGTTATCATCTATATTCTAATTTTTAATTTCTTATTTCTTGTTTTTCTATAAGTACCGGGAAAGAATTAGAAAGTAGTGGTTTAAATCTAACAAGAATCCTTTTGAAGGAATAAAAAAAGCAAAATTTCCTCAAAATATTAAATGGAAAGACGAATGTGAAAAAGATGTGGTAAACCATATTTAAAAGATTATAGTTATTTATATATTATAAGTTTAGGCTCTCAATTTATCTTCATCAAAAGAGTATAGAGATACTCCAACTTACAAATATATATATATATATATATATATATATATATATATATATATATATATATATATATATATATATATATATATATATATATATATATATATATATATATATATATATATATATATATAGATTTATAACACTTTTTTTTTATCATTAGATCAAACTCTTAGAATTGCTTATCTCCAATTCTTAAGTCTTATTTATACATGATCATAAAACATTACAAAAACATATAACATAAACTACACATAGTTAAACACAGTGAAGGATTCACCTCTAATTTAGAAGATAACTAACGAATTCGTCAATTTCAGTATCACTGATTGTGCCATCATTGTTGACATCAAATTTCTTCATACAACGGTCTGCTTTCAATCCAGGGAAGTAGAAACCTAAACTTTTTAGAACTTTCTTGATCTCATCCTTTGTATAGCAACCATCTTTCTTCATATTTGCTTCTTGTAACATTTCAAATATTTTATTTCCGGCCTCGACTTGAGATGGAGGCAAGACCTTAATCTTTGTCTGAATACCAAGCATGTTTGATTTGTGCTTCATTAAATTTGGGTTACGATTCATCTTCTCACTCTCAAGTGTATATGTGGGGATGAAATGAATGAATATGATTTTTGAACTGCCACGAGGAGGAGGGTTTAAATAGAAGTAACAATGCTTTGGTTTTGGTGTAATAATGACTATTTTAGGAATATTTTAAGTATAATTCCTTTTACATTATTTAATTGGTTAGATAATAAAAATAAATAGAGATGAGTTGATTGGACGCTAAGTACATTTTAAAAGAAAAAGATGATAATTAATGGTAGAAATTTAAAGTGTCATTAAAATCTAAAATATGTCACTACAAAATTAATAAATTAAAAAATTAATTTTGATATAATAACATAAAAATACATTATTAAAATTAAAATATAATCAAACTTACATGTTTTTTAATAAGATATATTAAAATATTTTTTCTTATGAAATTTATTCAAATATCTTTAAATTTAAATAATTTTTGGAAATTATGATATCTAAAAAAATAGAAAATTAAGAAATACCTAAAGTAATATTTTATAAAATATTATTTAAATTTAATTTTTATTTATAGCTTTCTTTTTAAAAATAATTTGTAATTTACTTTAATAAAAATATATTATATTATAAAAATCATGTAAAAACTGAATCAAACATGCTCACCGTATCTAAAAAAAAAGCATTATTCTATATCTTTCAAATCATCCTAATTTCATAGACAAATTAAAGTCATACGAAGCATCTCTTACACAATTACACTAGGGCTAACTTTTTTTTAGGTAGATTTTTTAAATATATTTGTGAGCTTTATCCTACAATTCTCCTTTCTTGGGGTCGATTGCTCGTTCTTCTTTGGTTTTAACAATAATTATTTCATCCACAAAAGTAGAACTATATTAATCCTTTAGATTGTTCTTTATATTTGTACTAAATGTGTTACTTGCCAGATTTGATAACTGTTTGGGCTAATTGGTCCACCTGTGTTTCAAGGTTTTTAAAGGAAGCGTCAATATTTTTGTGACTGGACATTGACACATGTATAAGTTGACTTAATGTGTTCTACAACTTTGTTTTTTTGTGTGGAGGTGCTTATGAGTAATACTTAAAAGATTAATTGTTAGATGGACCAACCTCGAATCTCAATCCTTGATTAAAATTGTTGTTCCGTGTGAAGTTGATGTTCTAATATTTCCCAAGTCTTTCGTTGCCTACATAATTTACTTCTTCATCTGTTGGAGGAAAATTCAGTTGGATGACCTATTCTACAAAGTTCACAAAATGCAATTGCCTTTGTTGAGATACTTCATGCATCTCTTTCAATTGGCGTGGCAGTTCTGATAGTTGTTTAGCGAGTTTATCCACCATCTGGGTTAACAACTTATTTTGATCAAAAGAAACATCATTGGTGTTTATTTATCTTATACCATTCTTCCTCCGAGAATGGTTTCTATTGCGTTGTATTTGATGATCACTGAGTTCCATTTGTTCAATGATTGTTGTTGCATCTTCTGCAATTTAAGACATGAGAGAACCCCCAACAACATCATATAGCAGCAACTTTGGTTGTTTTTGGAGTTAATTTCTAAATAAGTGTATCTGCGTGATTTCATTAAGATTGTGGTTTGGATATCATCTTAGCATGAAGTTGATACTTTCCCACGCTTCACACTGAAATTCCGTTGCACATTTGGAAAACATTAGGATGGTTGTCTTAGCTTCCATGAATTTGTTGCGAGAAAGAATATGTTTAAGAATTTTTCTTCCAACAAGTTCCACGTTTTCATCGTTGACATGGAATGATCTCGATACTACTCCTTTTCATTTCCAATCAGATAGTATGGAAATAATATTCTAAATATTGCATCTTCCTCATTTTCTAGAGCTCCTAACATACCATTAATTTCATACAACTTTGTGAGGTGTGTGTACGAGCATTTATGATCTAAACTTGCAAAAGGATCTAAGCTTGCATTTATGAGCTAGACATTAGGGTTATTATTGCATGATGTGCCACCATTGTTGTTATTTTTGTTGTCAACTTCATCCCTGTTTTTTTGTTTTGAGACATACGACTCTTCCAGATCCAACTTCATGGCTTTTTCTTTCTTTTTCATGTTCTTAATGAGGTTTCTGTGCGAGGTTCTTTTAATTTCAAGATCGAATAACAATTGTTCTTCATGAACCTTACCTTGCATAAACTAGTAACAACATAACTAATTCTAGATATTCATGTGTTATTGACTATAAATAAGATGTACATATATACACATATATAAACAATACTTAAAATAATAAAAACTAACACAAATACTCGACAACCGCGCCATTTTGTTGCAAAACATAAAAGTAAGTTTTATAATTATTGTATTCATAGAGATTAGTAGTTTCAAAGACCGTTCAAGAGTTCTTAAGATTCTAAGTAGATAAGGGTTAACAATAAGAAACCTTGTTGAGGTTATATGTTGCCATTACGTATTTATCATGCATAACCATATGTCAGTAATATGATCCTCTACTCACCTAGTAATATTACCACTTATTTCTCTCATTCGTATCTACTGTCAGTCTCAACGGCGTGAGATCATGCATTACCTAATAGTCAATATCTTAGTCTATTGACCAACATAAAACATTATGTTCCAACAATTATAAAGGAGTAATACTCGACAACGATCCTACTACAGTATGTACGGATATTAAACTTAACCATATTATTGGCAATATCATCCAATATATGATAATCTTGGATCAAATAATGACAAGCACCTTTCTAATGTCTTAGCATACCCTGATAATAAGTTTTAGGTAGTAAATCTAAAACATGCATTAATATTAAAGAGTCATCAATATTGAAGTTTGGGTAAGCTTGCATTAAATGATATAACATATTTAATACATGAATATAACAACTACATCTAACCCCTATCAAAGAGATTTTTAGCTACGACTACTCATCGTAGCTATAATGGTAATCTCGCGAAGCTAAATTTGGAAATTTATCTGCCTTGTCATTTGAGCAACACTTCACCTTCAATGTCCAATTTTTTACTACCTCACTTTAGCAAACTCATTTTAAACTAAATTGGAAGCCTCTATTTATATGCATGGATTCATGGCCCTCTTTAGGTGCACCACCCTTGGGCCTAAATTAAGGAATGATAGATATTTGACAGGTGGCCTTAGCCGCCTTGGTTTTCGATTGCACCGCCCTTATGCCTAGATTAAGCAATACTAGCTATCTAACTAGTGGCCCTAGCCACCTTGCTTCGCGGGGTGCATCGCCCTTGTGCGCAGCTCACAAACCCTTTCCACCATGAAGTACTTTAACCTTGAAGTGTCATATGGTTTTCGGAGCTCTCTTAGTGCGCCTATGGGCATGGATTAGCGAGCATTACTTTGCGGAGTTTTCTCCAACTTGGTGTTTGTGTCATGGCTTGTGGTTTTTCTGTCTATTATATTTTACTTCATTTTTAGTTAAGAAACGCTACAAAAGTCTTAACAAATGTTTCTATCATTTTTCATAGACAAATTAGATTTTTTTTTATATTAATTACTTGTTAAATAAGTTAATAAACACCGACAATTTTACGCAATGATACTTATCACACCTATTGATAAAAAATTTTACCACTACAAGAAAATTTATTATTAGCTAGGGGAATTGGCTACACTATGTCAAAAAAGAACTTTAGCAGCGTTGCCTAAAGTGGCGCTACTAAAGGTAAAGGCAGCACTTTTTTAAGTAAAAAGCACTGCTATAGGCCCACTTTTAGCAGCGCTTTTCCAGAAAAGCGCTCTCTTTCCTCCACCTTTAGCAGCGCTTTTAAAAGCACTGCCTAAAGTGTATTTGTTGAATACCTTTAGCAGCAGTTTTCTTAAGAAAGGCGGTGCCTTTTCCCCCACCTTTAGCAGCGTTTTTTTAAGCGCTCTCTTTCCCCCCTATAGCAGCGCTTTCAGAAGTGCTCTCTTCCTCCCCTTTTAGCAGCGCTTTTTCAAGAAAAGCGCTGTCTTTTCTTCACGTCATTGAATTTTTTTTTCAAAAATATCACTTTTTCATAGCGTTTTTTTAATAAAAGCGCTGTCTATTTTGCATATTTTTATGAAGTGATTTTTGTTGAATTCTGTTGCACAATTCTTTATAATTTTTTTCCATAAACCTGCTTATAATAATTACATTCACCACTGGCCTTTATTTCAACACTTTCGCCTGATATATACCATAACAATTCAACACATAAACTTGCTTATAATCATTGTAATTCAACACATATACCTGCTTATATATAATTCTAAAATATATTCCAAAATCGATAACTTCAAAAATACATTCACTATACATATAATTACAAATTCCATATTTTCGGATCCTCAAAATATATACAACTTCCAGAAATATAATTATCCAGTAGTATGTACATAACATTACAACAACACAAATCTCTATAAACTCCGATAAAAAAGATAGAAAGACAATATATATACCTTATACAATTCTCATCTCAAGAATGTATTGACATCATTCCTCCTTAATTTCTTTCAATTTGTCTTTCGAGTAAGTACCACACTTGGATTCATCAAAGTACTACATAATATAACATAATATGCATGATTTGATTTTAAAACTAATTACTCAGATGAAATATCGGTTAAATATTAAAATAAATCATATAACTTATAAATCCATACCATGTTTAGAATCTCTATTTGACCCGAATGAATAATTTCCTTCATAAAACTCAATATAAAATATCTGTAATCAATCTCATTACGCTGATGAGGATACTATAAATGTAAAAAACAAACGAATATATATCAGGATATATAGTTTAACTAGTTTTATCAAGTAGAATCACTATAACAATCAAAATTGTGAAAATATACATGCACTCTGATCCAGCTAATGTTGTTAGCCTTACATTTTTGTATTGTTGCTTGTCTTTGTGATCGAAATATTTGTATAGCTCTAACATAATATAAACGAATATTTAGAACAATCTCACATGATAAATAAAGATAATTATTCAGAACAATATATCTCATCA